AGATATAGGTCTGCCCTCTGCCCCCATTCTCTCGGCAGCTGAAATTCACTTTCGCAGATGCCCTGTATTTCACCTGTATGTGGGGTCAAATGAATTCCACTCTTTTATGATCTGACATGAACACAGTAAAACAACAAAATGTGTGATTAGAGCTCCAGTAGTTCCTGAACTTGTACAGTCTCTAAACAATGGAGAATTTCACAGTTCATACAGTATGGGCTGCAATAGCGAAGCACAAAAAAATGAGATCTATCCACATGCAAAGATTGTAAGAGTCTTACCACAAAAGTATCGCGAGGTCCCAGAGCTCGGGCTCCAGCTCAAACTCAAATATCTACAAAGCAATTTGACAGACCTGCAGCCCAAGCCCCATGAATCCAAGTCAGCTGACCTGAGCCAGCCATGGGTGTTTAATTGCTGTGTAGACCTACCCACAGCAGCCAGAACCAGATGCTTCAGAAGAAGGTGTAAAAACACCACAGTAGGCAGATGTAGGATAATCTGCCCACCCCCTTCACTCTCCTACCCACAAGTGTTAGGACTCATTCTAATATTTAATAGTTACAGACCACCTTAAGCCCTGAATTGTGGAATGTAATATTCCTTCCAAAAATTTTGTTTTCGTGAATTATAACTCTAGATATTTTGATATTCGAGAAGGCTTGCAGTGTCATTGTCTGTGCTATAATCCAGTTCTGTGGCAAAATAGGATTATTCTTAATGAATATCAATGGAGGATATATGTCACAAACACTTAAATCATTACCAAATATTTATAAAATTAACCATCAACAGTGATCAAGTGCAGGACAGAACAAATTGCATATAAAGAAAAGTAAAAGCACCAGTCTCAGCCTAGAATAACTTAAAACATAATTAGAGTAACAAACCCCCTTTACCCTCCCAGCTACTACATCTTTGCATGGCACTCTCATAGCCGTCCAGGGGAGATGCACATTAGCAGGAACAAAAAGCGGAGTATGGCTCACAGTTATAGTACCCCCATCTTAACCATCTCTGATCCACTAATAACAAACTCTTATTCAGAGAGCAAATAATTTATTTTTAGAAATGGAGAGAGCCCCAAATTAAAATGACATCTTTCCAGGTAAATACGAAAAATCTGCCAAATCCATTTCTATAATCCTCAGTGACCTCATATGTTTTCATTAAATGTATTGAATAAAATGAGAGAAGAGAAAAGGCACTTCCCCCCCCACCCCCAATGCTACAGTGACAGGACATACTGGACTGGGATTCAGGCTGAAAACCACTGTTCTATGGTAACAAGAACCTTTCGCAGACCCCTTACACATAATCTGCGGACTGCCCCCACCACCACCACTACCACCAGGGTCCAGAGGCTGAAAACCACTGGTTTTAGGGTAATATATTGTTTTTATCTCAGCAGCTTTCACCTGCTACTAATTTTCTTTGTCATTGCATAGGCAGGTAAGGTTTTTGTTGATGTTTCAGCGAAAGCAGAGAAGAACTGCTAGAAGACATTTAAATATCACACAAAAGTGTGCAATTAGTAGCAAGGGATCACTGCTCAGTATGCAGGTAGAAGAAGGAAAAATTCTCCCTCAATGTTTTGAATTCATATTATTTGTGTGTGCATAGGTATGCAGCAGAGTGCTCAGCTTGATGCACAATCAAATGCATAAAATCCCATTTTAAACTGCTGTGGTGACATGGACTACACAACTGGAAGTATTACAGCCCCCAAATCCAATCACGAGGTGGCCTCCCACATAATAAAACAAAACATCCAGATTTCCTGCCTATTTTTATGGTCATCACAAATTGTCTGAAGCTGGCTTCTTGTTTCATACACAAAGCCAATTTTGAAATTGTACTCCCTACCTTTTGTTCATATTATAGACACCTATATATTTTAAATGACAATAGCCAACCGTCCATTTCTCCATAAGGTTGGGAAACTGGCATTAACAAAGAATATTACAAGGGAAATGAGTAACAACCCCTATGTTTCAGTTGGCCAACACTTTTCATTATAAAAGATTCTGGTGACTTTTTGAGAAACTTTAACACCACTATTGTTCTATTGTTTGCACCAGACCTTTGAAATTAGGCATGGAGAAATCCACTGGGCTCAAGAAGTGCCTTTTCTTTGTCCCAGGAAATATTGTTCAGGTTTAACTGAGATATAAACTGTTAAAAATCATCATTTCACTTCTCTTGCTTGAGTTGCTCAGGAACTTTTTTTTTTGGGGGGGGGGGGGGGGGATGCTTAAACAGCCTACCAAAACAATATCTGAATACAAATATTCTGAGGCCATGTCCCATGCTGCCCCCAAAGCAGGGGTACATCCTGGGAGCTGTAGAGGAAGAGAGAGGGAAGTGGGATCCCCAACTTCCACCCAGACACACTACATGGCCCCAAAAGATCACACACCCCTTTGGGGGCCACCACATGGGACAGGAGCTCACCCCAGCTTCCTGGGTAGAGGGCAAGAGAGACACAGCAAGAAACCAGGCTCCCCACAAAGACACGTCCCAGAGGCTTATTTCCTCCCCTGCCCCCGCCCACCATCCCCCAAACAGGCAGAAGAGCCTTTATTTGCTTCCAGCTAATCCAGTTAGTTCTGTAGCTCAAGCAGTGCTGAAGGTTCAGGATTCAAACCTTGTTGATGATGCATGCTGTGGAAGGTCACTCCAATTTTACACAGTAGGGGTTACCTTTTTTAAAAACTTTTAAAATACTAAGAAATTACAATATATTATGTTATTTAAGTGGCAAAGCCAAGCTCTCAAGAGATAGGAAATTCCAGAATTTAAGGTCCCCCTTACAAACATAATTCTTCCCCTTGGGCATATGCATTATGATCAAGTTTTAAATTACATACTACTTTTTTCACCGAACCACTGCCTTATTCATTACACAGAAAAGACCCACAAGGAGGGAAAAATCAAGGTTCCATGGGCAACCTTACATTTTGTACTTCCTAACTTTTGAGTCCTTGAATTCATAACCTTAATTTTGTTTTCATAATTTCATATGCAAGAAAGCAACCATCTATGCATCTGGTATGAACATGGGGAATGGATTTCCAATCAGTTCAAAACATAGTTTAGGAACTTTATGCTGCAAAGCTAAAGCAAAATATAATTTATAGTTCGTGTCGATGAAACTTGTAACTATAAATTCATACGTTTTTAGGAAACAGTTTAATTTCAGTGTCATTTTAAGGTGTGCCTCTCCCTTTCCTTGGCTTAAAAAAAAGTGTCAAAGTTTTAGACAAATCTATGAATTTGGGTTTGCCAGGCATGTTCAGAAATCTAAACTGGACCACAGAAGCAAAGCATAAATAGATCAGCCATCATATGTCTTTAGTCATCCAGGAAAAATACATATCCATCATGTCTCTTCTGCCTGAATTATAGAGTAGTCTGTTTTCCTGCCATTATATTTTTTCCGGCAGGGTGGTAGAATGTTTGCATTGGGGTTTGGATTTAGAATTCCCCAGCAATTTATTCTACCTCACTTCCCTCCCAAAGTCACCCCGACCACCCCTGGGGAATAAAAAAGATAAATTAAAAAAAAAAAGAGAGAGAAAGTAAAAGCTGGCTGAATCGGAAATTCTTTACTTCATCAGCTGAGTACTACTGAGCAGTCTCTCAACAGTTTTACCATGTTTTATGGCACATTACCTCACTGTGTCACTATTAAAAAAAAAGACACTTTCTACTGATTTTAATTACAAAATGTATCACTTGTATCAGTATGGTAATTATGTAAAAAACATATTTCTTTATTACCACAATCCATGTATTGTATAGTAAAGGACCAAAAAAAAAAGAAGAAGAAGAAGAAGAAGTGGGAATTTAATAATTAGCTAATTCAATTTCTAAAGCACTTTGAAGAAAAATTATAGCTGAGAACTAAGCATGTACTGTTTGCATTGTTGCTGAGTTCCCTTTTTAGGACATTTTAGTTTAAATTATCACCAGATGCAAGTAGTTTTTACTAAAGTCTAAATTTTTTACAAGATTTATGGCTCATTGCTATCATGTATATTAATAGAATTCAATAACATAAAATACACTGTGTTGGTGAGGGGGATGTTTGTTTTATACAGAAATGCAGAAATAGCAGCAGCTGCCATGCTATTTTCTAAGCTGCACTTCTCTTTTTCTTCACTGAAAAAGAGGGGATAAGGGTGCTTCTGGAAGCATAAGGAGTAAGCATCTGCATATTTATTCACTTGTAGGAGACAGCAAAGAATACCAGCCAGTCAGAAATCTATGAGCCTGTAGGTGTGAAATCTCTAATACAGGGAAGAAAGGTTAGAGGTCTGCTTGAATGTTCAAACCAGCTATCACTTCACTTCTGACCACAGCAATCTCTTATGGATGTGGTGGGAATGATGGTTGGGTGGGGTGAGTAGGGGGCATCCTGGCCAACTCTTTACATTGGTTGATCGTGACAACAAACAATGAAAACATGCAGAAAACAAGTTTTGGAAAGGGAAGGGTGAATTCCTTCATATCAAATGGGGAATTATTTGGGAGACAGGATAGAAAAGTAGTGAATATGGGTAATAAAGTAGCAGCAGCAAGGACTCTTCATCTTCTGAGGGAAATTTGGCAGTCCTGCCAAATGTTTGGAGTCTGTTTCACTAACTCTATTCAGATTTTGTTTCCATATAGTGCTTAGCCTCACATTGGCATCCTTCCTCTGGGAATAATAATATAATTTCATCATAATAATAAAGCACTACTAATGAAGTAGAAACAAAAATGTGTTTTAAGGTATTATGATATCTTGGAAACTAACTAATTTACATGTTCATATTATAAAACTATGTATCTCCCCATAACTTGGGGATTTCTTAAAATTACTGCCATTTTTGGGGCCACCAGTAGCCAGAGATGGAAAGCTTTAGTCTTCACTCTACAACTGGCAAAACAAATTCAAGAACTGAGAAACTTAAAAAAAATAAATAAAGAGAGAGAATATATGAAGGAAACTGCACCTTTGCATTGCTCACAGCAGGCTCCTCTCTGCTTAATGACCAGAGAACACTCCTTGGAAAGCACCGGACACTTCTCTCGTTTGCATGTCACTTCCTTATTCTAGACAAAAAAGGCAAATGTTGTTGAAAGCAAAAATCAAACATTTATTCTCCATTTCATGACACTCCAAAATTGAAATATGGGTTTAGGAAGTCACTCCCTGCTTGACAAGAGACCTTTGTGATTCAAAATAATCAAAAATTCCCTCATAGAAACAGACAGTATTTTTCCCTCATAGTACATACTGAGAAGAGAGGACGAGTGGGGGCAGAAAGCACAACATTAAAAGGAGATCTAACCTAGATAAAGTAATGCCAAAGGAAACGTGTGATTCCTTTTCCCATTCTAATATTACTTTTTGGTATACTGTAGAAATGATAATATTTTTGTAAATTATATTTCAAACTATTAGAGTACCTGGTCCAAGACTTCCTTGTGTGAACAAAAATATTTGCTCACAACTGTCCAACAGTCCCGAGTAGTACAGTGAATTAAAGTGCAACCGTCTAAAGTTCCAAGCCAAATAATAACTCAGTTGGGTTTGAATGGATTCAGTTTAAAAAACAAAAAAGAAATATAAATGCCAAGTGAGGAGATATTTATGAAAAGTTCATAGCACAGGGACAGCTCTCTGATAATAGGGCTATATTAACAAAAGTGTTTCAAGCATTTTCATTTGCTGTTATTTCTAAAGTGACAGCAGTTTTAAATACAATAAAACCTCAGAGTTATGAACACTTCAGTAATGGAGCTTGTTCATAACTCTGAAGTTTCGTAACTCTGAACAAAACATTATGGTGGTTCTTTCAAATATTTACAACTGAACATTGACTTAATAATTGACTTTGAAACTTTACTATGCAGAAGAAAAATGCTGCTTTTAACCATCTTAATTTAAACAAGTACAGAAACAGTTTCCTTACCTTGTCAAATCTTTGTTTTTAAACTTTCTCTTTATTTTTTTAGTGGTTTACATTTAACACAGTACTATACTTAGGGTGAACAGATAGCAACTATGAAAAAATGGGACGGGGGTGTGGGGTAATAGGCACCTATATAAGAAAAAGTCCCAAAAAACAAGATTGTCCCTTTACAAACGGGACATCTGGTCACCCTAACTGTATTGCATTTGCACCCCACCCCACCCTTTTTATTTTTTGGTCTCTGCTGCTGCCTGATTGTGTACTTCTGGTCCCAAATGAGGTGTGTGGTTGACCAGTTAGTTTATAACTTTGAGGTTCTACTGTATACACATATACACACGGCTTAAATTCAGCCGGAGCCATCCAGAGCGAAGCTCCGGTAAATATTTTCAAACCCATGGGAGCACCGGTGCCTCCCAGAGGCTGAAGCCCTGAGCCCCAGGGCTCTGGGAAACATTCAGGGAGAATTTAAGCCCTGCACACACATAACAATGCACGTAGGGCCTAATAAAGTTAAGCACAGGCTTAACTTTAAATATATGGTTATGTCCCACTGCAGTCTATGAGAGTTAAGCATATACTTAAAGTTAAGCACTAACTTAATTATTTGCTAAATAGGTATGGGATTAAGCACATGCTTAGGTGCTCTGCTAAATGAAGGTCTTAATACAGCTACATTTATTTGGGATTGCTGCTTTGTTTGAACATCTCCCAGGGAACAGATTTCATGCCTCATGAGAGTAAATGATCATTAATGCTGCTTAATTGGGAGAGTGATACCAACAACAACAAATCCATTTACTGGTGATTCATTTGTCCAGTGCTAAAGGGTTAATCAGTGTTTAACTAGTTGTCATACATGGGAGATTCTAAGATCCCAGTCACTGAATCCATAATTTGCAAATAAAGACTAAAAGATGATGTAATGAATAATTTGTGTTCAGTAAACATTTTCTTCACTTAGGGCCTAATATTGCACTGTGCTGAGTAAACTAAAACTCCTTGGATTTCAATGAGAATTGAGGGGGTTGGTTCTTCTCAGGAGCAACTTAATACCTTCCAGTATTGGGCCCATAAGATTACTTTGCAAGTATAACTTTTGCATTCCCTAACATTTTTGTGTTTAAATATATCAGTTTCTACATTGTGTTAACATAGGAGTTCTGATTCTCCACTGCCTTTCACCTACACTTCACTGATGTAAATTACTACACAAAGTGCAACGCAGAAGACACCACTCCAAGGGTTATTTTTGCATTTCATTTACAGTACATATATAAATTTATACACTGCATAGCATACACACACACAGCCAAATACTCAGCTGATATAAATTAGTGTGATGACAGTGACTTCAATGGAGCAACCAATGGCCCAAAATGTTCTAATGTATCATCTCTCCGTGCATGGTCAAATAATTAAGAACAACAATTCTTTAGAAATATATAATTAATTATTCTATCTTTTTTGGTGTTCAGATATGAGCTGGCACAAAAGCAGTTAAAAGTTCTCCCTTCCTACTCCTCCCCCAAACTATCTATTTTGAAATCCTTCTCAACTCCCAATCCCCTCAGGAAAATCCTAGGAAAACAAATAAGCTTTGCAACATGACCTGAAGGCCATCAGATCTGGGATCTATCATTCCAAGGGGCCAAGCTGGTGCAGAACTTCCTTTAACAACCTGCCAGCAGTCCCAAACTCATTTAAATCAGGGAGCTGTTTGCTTGACCCCTCAGTTTATCCCATCTGCCTTGGGATCATGAGAGATGCAGGTTCCTAAACTGTTCAGGATCCAAACTACACAGGGCTTTACAGCTTAACCTCCACTTAGATAACAACTGGTAACCACCACAGATCACATATTTGATGTGTTCCATGTGGGAAATCCCACTTAAGTGGGCAGCCACAATCTGCACTCTCTACAATTTCCTGAGGTCCTCAAGACGTAGTCCCATACACTGCATGTTTTAGTGATCCTATTTTAAAATGACAAAAGCGCAGATACTGGTGGAGAGGTCTGTACCCCAAAGAAAAACACACAACCCTCTTGCCATGTGCCAATGTTGATAAACATTCTTGGCAATATCCCAGCCTTTCTTAGTAAGTGGTTGTTATGATTTATGTCTTGTCCTCAAACTGTTCAGAAATCAGATTATCCAAGAGGGTAAAATAACTGCATATTATACTGCCACCATCCTATAAAGAAAAGTCAGTGACCAAGCTGGAGGATACCACTGAATATACTAAGAAGAATTAACACAGGAATGTTTAGCACAAGGTAATCCATTGGTAGGGCCCTTCGTTTTCAGTTATTATTTTGTTCAATTTTTCTCAGGTATTTATCAGTGTTTATTGCCACAACAACAAAAACAGGTGACAATCAGTGTCAAAAATTATTAATAATTTTTCTGGGTAAATATTGGGGTTTATTTTGGTGGATGGAAAGACGGGGGGGAAATATTCAGTGGATTAATGCTTTGAACTCTGTTCATCAATGTCATTTGCTGCAGAACTAAAACAGAACTCAAAACACAATGCCACCTCTGAGTTTAAGAAAACAATGTATCTAATCCCCAAATAAAACTTTTCATTTGAATAAACGGTTTCCTGTTGTAGACTTAGAACTATTGGTCTATAAATATTTACATTTAATAATTGGGACACACCATTTGCAGCATGTACACTCAGCTTCATCCTTTTCTCCTGTTTTAGTTTTTTTTAAACTTTTGAATACTTCCTTGTGTTCTGAAACATATTCTGATATAGATTTTCATTTTCTTCCCACTTTAGAGTGTCAAATCTTTAAACTGTTATCTGCCAACAGCTTGAAATATGTACATGGTGGGGGTGAGATTCATCAGTACATTCAGATGAGCACGCACTTCAGAGCTTGCATGCGTGCCTGTTTGTTTATTGTGTGCATCTTCTAGACAAATACATAGTCTTATTTCAACAGGCAGCTTTGCATATACACACAGACTAATTTATTATCGTAATACATATATCTCATGCACTGTATTGTATTTTCCTAATAAAACAAGTTATTTTTACATGTTTGAATGATACAAAAGTAGGTTGAAAAATCAGAAAAAAATGAAGAACACTTTTTGTAAAACCCAGGAATTTTTCAGTAAAAATTGTTTTAAACTGCAAACGAAGGGGCTTTTCCATTGCCTAGTTAATAGTAGCTCCTCAACCTTCGGCTTTTCCCTATGATTGTCAACCACACTGAACAACCCTAGAACTGAACAAGGGTAGAAAACAAACACATTTATCTTTTAAAGTAAAATTTTGCTACTTGAAATTCCTGTCTTAAATTTAACCCTCTGAAGTGAACTCCACCTATAATTACTAGTTCATTAAATGACACAGGTAGCCATTTACCAGATGCTAGTGTCTCTCTCAATGGATTTTATGGCTTAATTAGAGACTGAAAAAAATCAAAGAGGTAGAAAAATGTCAATCAGAAAACTGAAGCACAAGAGGCTCTGCACACATCACCCCTTTGCCTCCTTTTGCTTCCTGTGGCCTTGCTCAAGGTGCTTGTGAAGGAAGATATAAAGCTTTTATTACAAGCCTCTGGGACTTAAAATCACAGCTTTATTCTTCTCACAGTCACTGTCTAATCTGGCGGGGAGTAGAAAGGGCTTGATTCTTACACCAGCATAAACCAGGAATAACTAGTTAAATCAATGTGAAATCAGCATAAATGAGAATCAGGCCCTAAAGTTGTTAACTAACATGCAGTTGTAGTCAGAAATATGACTATTGTAACAGATTGTAACTAGTGTGATAGATTCACTGACACACTACTCCAGTTTTGCACCTCTCCAGTGTTGCAAAGCAACTATAAACCTGGATTTAATCAGCCAGTTTTGCAATGCTGGATTGACACAAAGCAATCAGAGCACATTAGTGAAATTGGCTCGACAACTTCTTATTCAATGCAGGTTTCAGAGTAGCAGCCATGTTAGTCTGTATCCGCAAAAAGAAAAGGAGTACTTGTGGCACCTTAGAGACTAACAAATTTATTTGAGCATAAGCTCAAGTACTCCTTTTCTTTATTCAATGCAGTATGCCAAATCCTACTTTTACTTACACCAATGTAACACCCTTGACTTAAACTGATTTGATCCA